ATGATTAATGATCATCTTTATCACAGCTGAATATTGTAAAAAAAAAAAAAAGCAGAAATTGTATCAGCTCCTTTAGTTTGTTTCAATATCTTGTTTATTTCCATGTTTAAATCTTAGGTTTTTCAATATGGTCACAAATGTTTGGGTCTCACTGTATATATTTATGTTGTCCTGTATGTCCTCAGGAGCTAGAAAATAGGTACATTGCCATGAAGAACAGTTGTGAGGAGGTGAGGAAAGAGGTGGTTCAGCTTAGACAGGAAGTAAAGACTTTAAGTGAGAGCATGGAGACTCAACACAAACATATAAAGAAAGAACAACATGAGCTGGAGAAATTAAAAGATCTTGTTGAAAGCAATGAGGTAAGCAAGACCTGTTAATCACTAGGCTGGAGTATCTGTCCTGTGAACTTTGGGATGTGGATTTCACATGTTAGCAATGTCTTTCACCAGGCTGAGCTGGCTCAGGTGCTTCTCATACCTGTTCAACTGGGAAAGGAGATCGACAGGATTGCCCACAAGAAATCGTATGTGGCTTGTTCCAGCAAAGTTACACAAAACACTGGAAATGTTTGACTGACTAATTTGCACTGTATCTGTTTGCGTGTCATAGGGAGCTGGGGAAGCAGGTTGCAGTAATAGGGCAACACCGTATGCAGCACATGGAGCATCAGCAGAGGATGGAAGCTAAGTGCGAGGAGGTGAAGGAGGCCAAAAGAGAGGTGGTACGAGAACTAGAAGGCCACAAGTCGCAGCTGGTGGCTGCAGAGAACAAACAAGACAGACTTCTCAAAGAACTGCAGATGACCAAAGAAAAAGAGGCCATGTTCATGGATCAAAGGTTGGAAGAAGACATCTGTTTGCAAATTAGTCATATAGCTGTGTTATAAGTCAAATAAACAATTTTTTGAGTAAATCTACTGTATTGATTTTTTTGGACTGCAGGGGTCTGCTGGATATCAACATGGAGCAGATTGTTGCTGAGTGCAAGTCTCTGCGTGATAAACTGGCTCGAGATACGCGGCTGAAAGACAAGCTTATGCGAGCCCTGAAGAGGAATGAACTGCAGCTGAAACAGGCCAGAGACTCTCTTGCTAACACTCAACAGCAGCATGAGAGGACGCAGGCTCAGGTGACTCAAAACACATCTAATATCTAATAACTACATCTAGACGCTCACCTTTAGATGCAGTATTGGTGTTTACACACAGTCCTAATAAAAAAATCCTAATTATATCAATAATTATACTGTAAGAGTGTTTTTCAGATTTTCCAGGATTTTGTAACATTTACTTAGAACGATTTATCGCAGATGCAAATATTTTGGGACATCCTACATTTCAGAATTGCTGTACAATCATTTCTTTCTCACGTTATGTATGGAAAAGCTGATCATGGTTATTTTATAATAACAGGAACTATTAGTTCCTTTGGATTTTAGAGATTTTTGTTATGTAAGAGAAATGGCATGGTAGCACTTGTGCGCAAACATCCAGTTATGCCATATTTTCGCCATAATCTTTTCAATACAATAGAAAAAAATAACCGGGAAAAAAAGGAGACATTGAAATTGTAGATATTATCTTTTATGCTGGCATGAAGTGTATATTAGCTGTCAAGAAATACATTTGGGAAGTTGATGCCCTATGGTTTGACATGCTTTACTTATATTAAACTATTTTAAACAGCATTATGGTAATATATGGTAACATTATAGTTTTATAGTTAGTATGCATGAAGCTTTATGAGCTGACTTTAACTGAGAGCCTACAATTAATATTTTATCACACTGTTTAAATCTAGTGACGGTTCAAAGGTGATCTTTAAAAAAACATTTACACCAAAAAAAAAAAAGACCCAAGATACACTTTCTCTTTTAAATTATAGTCGCATTTAATTTGCCTGTTTTATATATATATATTTTTTTTTTATGCAGAGAGAGACAGTCCCAGAGGGTGACTGCTTGTTGCAGAGAAGAAGAGATCTGGAAAAGGAAGTGGAAAACCTAAAACGTAGTTGGATTAGCAAGGTATGTACATAATGACAAGTGGTTTCAGTTTACATAATGTCTAAATGGTGTGGCAAGATGCATTTCAAAATGTGAAATTGAGTCCCTTTAAGGCAAGTCATGTCACTCGGTGGCCATCTTTGAATCACCTCTCGGGCATGCAAATGCAGCTCCTATCTCTTTGAATGGGGAAACATCAAATTCTCCTAAACTGTTCACCAAGCTTACAATTTAAATTTCATATTTGAAATCACCAATTAAATCTGACAACATCTGTCTCATAAATGTTGTTTCTTTTGCTCAAATAGTGTTAATTATTTTTCAGGCTAGACCAGCCAGTGCGCATGCGCAGTCTTAAACGCACATCTCAGAATGCTGACGGTGACACGCTGACTATTAGATTTTAATTGGTTCTTTTATTCAGACAGGGCTTCCTTCGTTAGAGCAGCCATACTGAGCATTGCATTTTCCCCCATTCAAAACTATAGGAGTGACACGTCTTGGATATTCTGTTGTCTTTGGTTTGTGTCCATTTGTATGTTTCATGTGTGTATGTGTGAGAGAGTAGCAGTCTGTGGCAGATCTGAAGGTCCAGCTGGTTCAAGAGTACGTGGAGCAGGAACAGGCTTTGATTAGAGAGTCCTATCGCCGTAGAGACGAGCTTCATCACCTTCATCATCTCATACTTATCAAAGCAGATGAAAGAGAGCAGAAGAGCCGTGAGCTGCTCAAAGCACAGGTTACATACTACTCAATCCAAAACCGTTATATCAGCATCACTGTTGCCCTGTGATTTTATTTCTGAGCTCTATAAGAACAAACCAACGTATTAATCATTCTAGGTAGAAATTAAAATCCTTTCAGCATTTACTCATCCTCGTATCATTTCAAACCTATCTAGTTTTCTTTCTTCTATGGAAGAGAAAAGTAAGTATACAATGAGAAGGGCCCAAAAATGCCAAAAAGCAATTGCTATATTTTAAGTCCATATGTGGTTTTTAAGTCAATATTGATTTCAAATGTTGGCTATTTCTCATGCGGGTTTGGAACAACATGAGGGTGAAAAAATCACGACAGAATTGTCATTTTTGGGTGAGCTATTCTGTTATGCTTGCTTATTGATATGAATGCTGTTGCAGCTAAAATATAATCGTGCCAAGCAAGATCTGCAGGGGAAAGGACTGGTTATTCAAGAACACTTGAAACAGACTCAAGAGACCCAGTCAAGGTATTTACTGGTGATTGACACGTACTCTATAGACGGGCTGAAATAGAGCTAAAACTTTGACCTGATATAGAAAGAATCAAGTTTGTTAGCTTGTAGTCTGTTCAGTAAATGTGTACTTGTGTGCCTTCTTACCCTCACCAGGCTGGGTGTGTTTGCTAAACTGTATGAAGTCACCAAGGGTGAGCGGAACAAATACCTGAGCCTGATCCACATCTCAAACCAGAACCTGGCAGAGGTGCAAGAGAAGCTGGTTAAACTGGAAGAAAATCTTAAGACACTGCAATTGATTGCTATCAACAAAGACAAGTACCGTAGCTCTCACGTTATATGTTATACCTAGTATTTTGTTTTTACAAATTACAATCTGTCTACATCACACCGTAAGATAATGTTTGGTTAACATGCTTGGTTTCACTCTAGGTTGCTGCAAAAGTCCCGTCTACAACACTCTCACAGCTACAAGCTCAGAGACCGTATGAAGAACGAGCTCTCACGGGTGTTACAGGTTCTGCAAGAAATGCACCAGAAACGAGAGGAGCAGAAATTAAACCTCGGCAGGCTCACAGACACAATCAACATGCTGGAGCAAAAAAAGTTGCATATGTGCAAGAGCTACGAGGCTGCTATGCAAGAGCGCAACCAGCGGTGAGAGGACGTTACAAGATCTGTCAGGTGAATTCTCGCAGTCTGAGGTGGCATTTGAACCATAACTTTGTATCTGTGTTTGTGTTGTCAGGGCCGTGCAGCTTGTAGAAAAAGAGCAGGAATTGTGTATTTTCTATGAGAAGCTAAATGTGCTGGTGAAAATGATCGAAGACAGCAACCTGAAGATACAGAACATGGAGGATGAAATCAGCAACCTGAAAATTGATCAGAAGGAGCAAGAAAGACAGAATAACTTTCTCAGGAAACAGTTGTCCAGCAAACGGGCACTGGAGGAAGAAAGCATCCTATTACAGATACAGGTACCTGCATCTCAGTTCTGAAACCACTGTGCAACCTTTGTCTAAAACAACAATGAAAAAATTGAGTGACTTCTCAGGGCATCTTCCAGCTTTGGATAAAGCATCCAAAGAGATGATATATCACAGATACATAAATTAAAAAAAACAAGTTCCAACACACTATAATGCAGTGGAATGTAAGTAAAGGTTAGATTGTATATACTATTCCAAACATTTATTGCCCTCTAAAGTGGCACACACTCACAGATGTGCTGTTTTTACCATTTATAGTTCCTTCTGAGAGATAAAATTGATATAAACCATCTTAGCAAGAATCTCCTGGATAGTTTTATACTCCTCTGTGTTTAATCAACACAGTCTCTTCATATAAACATCTACTGCATCAGAGCAGAGTTCTCAGAGTTACTAGTTCTCATCCTTGCTGTAGGGCTTAAAGTAAGGGTAAAAACATATTATGTCCCCAGACACTGTGTGCAATGCCAAACTATAGTTCAAGCCCAATTTTTTTCACTACATTTACATTTATGTCTCAAATTCCACATAATACCGATGTTGAGAAACACTTCCTGATGATCAACACATTATTGCAACACTGAAAATGTCTGTTACACTGCCGTTCCAAAATTTGCGGTCACTAACATTGGTCATTAAATTAATCAATAGTAACAGTAAAGACTTGAATAATGTTACCAAATATATTTTTTTAAATAAATGCAGTTCAGAACTTTCTATTTATCAAATAATACATGTATCATTTCCACAAAAATGTTAAGTATAATCAGCTTTAATAAGAAGAAAAGGAAATGTTTCTTGCACCAAATCAACATATTAGACATATTAGCATCATATGATACTGAAGAGTGGGGCAATGACTGCTGAAAATTCAGCTTTGTCATCACAGGAATAAATGACATGACTTCTTTCAAGAACATTAAAAAATCTTACCGACCCAAACCTTGAACAGCATACACTTATACTTGGTGTACAAAAATAAAGTTGTTGTAAGAAGAAATAAAAGGTAAGAAATATTTTTGTGATGTGATGACCTCTTAATTCTTACTGTGTATCACAAGGCGTCCTGTACTAACACAAGACTCTGAACAAACCAAGAGAATCAGCCTACTCTTAATGGAATGTCAGGACAACCGCCAAACAGAAACAAGGATTAAGACTCAGACCCCAAGCATTGTCTTCACCAGCCCACCTTCTATTATTGTGATGCATTAGATTGCTTAAGAAGGCTTTTATTCTTCAGCTTGCGGAGAACTAAAAGATGACCTTTATTGCCAGCCCTTGGCCTGTTTATTGTGGGCTCCAGCTGGTGTTGCACGTGTCACTCTCCTTGGCTGTAGTCTTGGATAACGTTGATATCTTTCAGGTCTCTCCCAGATCAAGTCCACTTGGACATCTAACTTGTATTTCAGCTTTTCCTCTTTGTTGAGATGCTTAACACTGGGTTTTAATCTGGCGGGGCCTAAGAGACATTTTTAGATTATAATTTACAGTATAGGCAAATTATTAATCCAGTTCGGTTGGCTTTATTATGTTTTGTGAAGACATTTCCAATCATTTGGCCTTCAATTGAGCACAACAAAACAAGTACCCCACCTCATGTTGACACCAGATGATTTCTCTGTTGTGACATAGCCGGAAGCCCTGCAATATTGTGTTTAGTGACTGAAAAGCACAAGACCTGTCCTAGCCGCCAGCCTGATGGCGTTTAACCAAATGACTCACAGAGGGATACAAACACACTCACACAATACACACAGTCTGTGCATCTGTGTAATAAGAGCAAAGAGGCTTTAAATGAGTCCACTGTTTTAATTGTGTCCTGATGGTGCGGCTGTTTTTTTCTGTGCCATAGCTGTCTGAGACGAAAGACAGACTGACTGAGCTAGAAAAGGCTTGTGTGAACCATACCAGAGCCAGAAAACTGAGTGGAGAAGATCCGTCTCCTGAGGAGCTCATCAAGAAGATTGAACAAGTATAGTTGCAGTCCACATGAAGGGAAATATTTGGGGGTTGATGCCTTTTTTGGCAGGGACTGTCCTGTTGGTCAGTTTCACTAAGCGCAATCACCCAGAACAAGTGTATTTGCAGAATTTATATTTATTTGTAACACTTGATTTCTTAATAATAATAATAATAACAATAATGATAAATACTTTGTTTACACATTTTATTGCATAAAATATGAGATGATGCTGACTTGGTTATAACTGAATTTTTAAAGGTTTTTCTAAAAATTGTTTTTGCATTTTTTTATTATATATATATATATATTTTTCAATAGATATTATATAAACATTCTTATTATTAATAATTATTTCTATTCTAGACCTAGTTTGTTATACATATATTTGTACAGCATATATATTTAACACATATTTTATTGTTAGAATAGTTGGAAAAATATGCACTCATATAGATCAAAAAATCAAAAGGAAAAGTTAATGTCACTCACTTGTGTGTGTGTGTGTGTGTGTGTGTGTGTGTGTGTGTGTGTATATGTTTAGTTAGAGGTGCATTTGACCGATAAGGAGGCTCAGCTCTTGGAAATGGAGCTTGTGTATGAGCAGGTTACACGCCTTTCCCAGCGCATCCAAATCAAAGCTGAGAATGGTAAAGAAGACACGCTGCATCTGGCTAAGAATGTAAGTTTACAGACAGATTTACTCTAACACACTGCATAGCAACAATGGTTGGTTTTGCTTCAGGACTCAGAATTTACACTGGACCTCAAGTGGTAAACCACAATACAAAATACTTGATGCTTTGACACCCTGCAGACCTCATGGTCTCCAAAAAACATTGGATGCCCACATTAATGAACCATAGCAAGCTGTCCTTCAGCTTAACTAAACCTCAAACTAATGTGCTGTTACTGTAAACACATAAGGTCGTGTAGCCAGGAGTTTTAGCAAATTCATTTAGAATATGTTTGTGTTTTAGGTGAACGAGCTGCAGGCTCAGATCAGGGAGCGCACTCGTAAAATGATGGCAGTGGTAGCAGAGCTGTCCATGAGACAAGCGGAGTGTATGACCCTACAGCAGGAGATGAAAGAGAAGGAACTACAGCTGGACTTGTGTCAGAGGAGTGTGGAACAAGGCCTGCCCCCCTCAGACAACATAGAGAACGAGTGGCTGCGTTGCCTTCGAGATCAGCACAGACGCCAGGCAGACGCAGAGGAAAAAGCCAGGGTAAGCTTCCAAATGCACTCAAATCTTACAGTAAACATCATTAAATATGAAATTATGGGTCACAAAGGACACATTTTCATGAGATTTGTCCTTATAGAGATAGACATTTTATGAACTTCTCGATTGTGATTGATGTATTTAAATTCATTCTACCATTATAAGGACTGTCTTGTTGGATCAGGTCTGTGTTAATGCTCCGTTTGGAATCGTACTTTAACTGAAATATTTAGGTAAATATTTAAACCACCTATTAACATCATGTTTGTGTGATACTGATGTATTTCTATGTTTATGTTTGTTAGCTGGCTGAGGAAGACGAGTGGAACCATCTTCCAAACGGTGTTTACACCACGGCTGAACTGCGACCCAATGCTTACATCCCCACTGATGATCCTTTGCCAGTGCCCAAACACTACGGAGCCCTGGCCCCCTTTAAACCCACCGAACCTGGTGCCAACATTCGCCACATCCGCAAACCAAAAAACAAACCTATTGAGATCTAGAGTGAGTCTGCAAACTCATGATGCTTACAGACACAAAAATAAAAGTCCAGATGTGCTCCCATTCCTGAGGAATCTGGTCCATTTCCTCAGAACTAGTGATGCTAACATAAGAATTGTTTATCATATGGGTCTAATTTCAATGCTTAGCAGCCCAGTGAAGCTCCTTCTGGTGGCATGCTGGGAATTCAGAGATTCTTTAGAGATTTGCCAGAGTTGAGGGGTGGGAGAGGGGCTAGAGATGATGCTATGCCCTCTGGAGCCATGCACAGCTGAGTCATACAGGGAAATTATTTACAGAACCAAATGGGACATTTTATGGAATTGTTTTCTACTCTGATATCACAAAGATTATAAAAGATTCATATGAAAAATCACATTCATTATTGTGCAGTCTACAGCATATACATGTAAATACATATACATACATTTGCTCAGGCCCCATTTGAAAATAAATGGGAATGTGGACTAGACACAATTTAAATTTAAAATAACAATCAAAATGAACATAATCAAAAATTAAATAAAAAAATTAAAAAATACTAATGCTCATGTCCTATATTTTTTTTAAATGTGTAATATTTAGAATGTTAAAGAGAAACCATTTTCAGCACTTTATAATTACATTTGCAAAAATACCTGGAGGCAAGTAAAATGATTTGCTTAATAATTGCATGGCTAATCTTTAGCCAAATCATTTGGATGGTTTTATATTTTGGCATATCACCAACCCCTCATCTTGGCACAGCTATAGCTTAATAATCAACTTCATTAATAGTGTGGTTTTCATACACGTAGTAGCTCAAAGTGCTTTACAGAAAAGTAACCAATAACCATCTAAACACAGCTGCAAAGTGAATAGCATGCCTTACAGGCTAAACGGTATAATTGCAAACATACAAAGGCAGCAATATAAAATAACCTTTCAGGAAATTGCTATCAACAAGAAGCATCTTATTTTGTAGAATATAAAAACTAAGCATGAAGAGTACAAAGAATATATGATTTTTTTTATTTCTTGTTTGTGAAATATTTACAAATGTACCCAATTTGACCCCAAATAACATCTGGGGGAAAAAATCCCTTTATGTGTCTTTTTTGTTGGTGCTCTTCCATCGCATCTGTGTGTATAGAAAAGTGCATAATATTCCCCATACGTATTGGCATCAGTAGAATCAGTATGTGTTCTTCTGGGTACTAAAATGTGATATTTAGAGAACAGACTGACAGTTGGCAAATAATCTTTGGTCAAGTATGATTTTGGGCTTCAGTTTTAAGATATCCAAGATATCGCTAACATTTCTAACAGAAGTTTTAACATTTTAAAAACTTCTGTACATTACTAGTCACCTAAATATATCAAGCTTTGTTCTTTGGCCAAGAGGACTTTTTCCCCCTATTTTCTCGGAATGTTTTCCATGTTTCCCTTTTTACCACTTTAACATTTGTACCAGGCTTTTTTTTTTACTTGACTTCAAAGCCCAGCTTGATCTGTGTCTGCTTTAAGGCCATCTCTTCCACAAACCTGACATCCACATTCTCCTGCTCTTCAAAAGGGTTCTGAGCTGAAATACAACACCCACACAATTATTACCTTACAGTAAATGAAAATATTTACTATCCTACAACATATTTTATGAATGACTTCATCTCTGAAACCGTGTACCTTGTTCCTCCCTGTTTGAGAGAATCTTGGCGAGGTAGTTTAGGGGCAGGAAATCGGGATAGAAACATGACTTGCCATAGTCCAAGAGTGCAGAGTCCTAAAAAATATCATGTGTTTAGCTGGTAAACATGGGAGCATTTGTTCTGAACTAAGAGCCAAGACCATGATTCAGTTTCCTAAGAATCAAAACACTTGATTCTTTGTTCGATTTAGAACTGTACATCAAAACAGCAGTTGTAATATTTCATTCAGCATCTAGTCTAACAAGCTTTTTCATCCAAGTATTAGTTGCAGTTGTTTGGCAGATTTTCAAACCAGTTTCACGCCGCAGTGTTTTTCGAAAAAAAAAAAAGAAAACATTTTTCAAATGAAAGCAAAAGCACCCTCAGTTGAATTGGTGAAACTGACAAATGCTCCAATGTATTTGTGTTTATGTTCTGAAGAGCATCAAAGGTTTCTATTTACAACGTGTTTTGTAGTGTTGAACAAAGTAGCCAATCATAGGCAAATCAGTTGATTTCTTAAACGCAATGACTAATCAGAGGTGTTTAAGTTAGTCAGAATCCACTCTCTGCTCAAAACGTCAGGGATTTTGTTCAGTGCTGAGTTCTGCACTCTTGTGAATCATCTCCTGGTAAGCCTTCTAGTATGTAGGCTATATAATAAGCTATAATCCTTTCATAATTTGGTTCTGGAACCGGGTCTGCCCCCTGCCATACTCACCGTGTTTTCTAAGTTTTTTTCCAGCAGAGTCCTGACGTATTCTCTGGAGATGCATGCAGAAGTTATGGGGTGATCCCACTGCTGGCTAACTTTCTGCTCCTTATGCTAATTACAAAAACATCATGTCAACATGAAATGGAATTCACAGCCCGTAATGTGACATTTATCGGTTCGCAATGTGACATTTATGATTCAAATACAATATTCATTAAGCAAAAATGTTGGGTGGGACACAGGGAGTTGATTGGATTAATATTAATGTTATCCACCATTAAATTACTGTTACATATTGTCAATTTTAGGAAAGCTGCATTACTATAACTACAACTATTTGGCTATTGGTTAATATTTTCCCATTCCAGAGAAAGAATATAATCTACTTTAATGATAGATTCTGAAGACAAGTTTAGATTTTTTGGAATAACTTGCACAGATTAATCATTTACAATAACACTAGGAACCAAAATGTTTCCAAAACAAGAGGAAGAGGTGGGAAATCAATAATGGATGAGTGCACTACCATGGAAAACAGCCGAACTAATCAGCAAGGGAGTAATTGGCTTGCATTTTTCTATTACACCTGCCGCACTTCCTCACTTGGCTGCCTTGAGACTAGAAAACAAAGACTGAAGCCCAAGCACATGCCGTGACCCAACACATGACCACAAACATGCTCACATTACTTTTCTTTTACACAGGATTAATTCTGACATCTACGAAAGCAGCTCCAAGCTTGAGCAAGAAGTGGGGCAGGGGTCGGACCTCATAAGACACAGATTTCAAGAGGAGTTAAGTAGGAAACTTACCTCAGGATGTCTTTTCAGAATACTGAACTTCAACTGCTCATTGGCATCGCTGTTATCTAAATCTGTCATGAGATACATGGAAAGAGTGAGAGAACATAACATTGTTCTTAAAATAAAACACTAACTCCTAAATGGCTATGTTTCTTTAATAATGTGGTCTCGTATTTATCCAAAGTCACTGTTTGATTCCAATCTAATTCATTTTATGCAGGTCAGGGATATGTTTTTTATCTATTGGAGACCTTAATGCAGTGACCAAGAATATGCTGTAGGACAGCACAGGAGTTCAAAGTTGACCGGTAAAGTCGAAGTACTTTATGTACGTAAATGGACAGTTTTCAGAACAGGGTATATTAAAATGTATTTAAATTAGTACCTGTCATAAGTCGTGAAACAAATGGTTCTGTGAGCTGAAGAATGCCATGGTCCACATACTGGAGAAAAGTGTACTGTGGGAGACATCGGGATCCAAGCACACTTAACAGTGTGGAATAACCTACAAGTGCACACATAATAAACTTCTTAAGCGATTAAACCAGTTTTGTGATGGATAGAGTGGACAGAACTGAAGCACTGGGTCAATGACTCCACTACTAATCGTCTTCCAGGCAGGTCAAAGCATTTGTGTCAAAGAGTGGATCCACCCAGATAGATCTGGCACACTTCAGATTTCAGAAACCGCTTTTTTTCCCTCACTGGGTCATAGAAAATCGGACACACCCAATCGCTAGACTACATGGGATTCATTTGGAGTTTGGAGAGATGCTCATTTGATTAATCTTTAGAGGGTTCAAATGTATTTGGTCAGCCATGGGAGAACTAAAGATTCAGTTTTTCCCTTTAGCAACATTAAACAAACTCTAAAAACATCTAATCATGGAAAGAAAATACAACAGCTCCCTTTTTTCTTATTATATCAAGAACATTAACTCTAAGATCTAGTGAACTGCCTACTTGGATAGTAGAAACATGCTCCCAACAAGAACTGTTTTACTAAAGTATAGTAAGATGTTAACGTCAAACTACTGGAATCAATTGTGAGTTGAGTCTTTTCATGTAAGGAGAAATATTTGCGCGAGTTGCTGCCCATGTGGAGCATTCCAACTAGTCACTTTTGAGGTTCAGTTAGGATTCTGGGTTACACTTTACTTGAAGGGGTGTGCATAAGACTGACATGACACGTCATGAATATGAAGGTTTTTTATGCATGTTTATGACAACTGTCATTAAGTGTCATTCGCTCAGTTATCTAATTTTTAATGCAAAGATGACATTGAGATGTCTTTGTTATGGGCTATGGTTAGGGGTAAGGGTAGGGGTAGGGTTAGGTTAGGGTTAGGTCAAATAATGTCATATTTGCATTAAAAATGACGTAACTGAGCGAATGACACTTAATGACAGTTGTCATAAACATGCATAAAACCTCCTTCATATTCATGACGTGTCATGTCATGATTATGAAGGTGCCATGTCAGTCTTATGCACACCCCTTCAAGTAAAGTGTTACCGGATTCTGTCTTAATAGGCATGTAGTAGACAAACAGGCAGCTCACTAGGATTTGGAACTGTTTTCTAAGTGTTCTCAGATTGTCTCAGTCAGGTGTCTTCTTACCTGGAGGGAGGGGGAGACAGAGTCCTTTAGTTGCTTCCAGAATGCGAAACATCACATGAAACATCGCCCACTCTTCTGAACTACCCTGCTGCTTACTAAAACAGAAAATTGAAGGCTTTAGATTCAAGAAATCAAGCACTCTCGTTCCCCCCAAAGAGGAAGTAAAATATGGTCAGGTGCACATACATGCAGAGCACCCAGGGGCCCAACTTCAGCTTCTGCCACATCAATTCCAACACGTGCCAGACCAGTTCCAGCTGAACACAACACAGTCATATGTTACAAAAATACATATAGCAGATTCAAGACAACACCCATCCTCTATGAAACTACTATGAATCTGTCAAGATGTTCAGTGGAAATAAACTCTCACTGTCCTCAAGTGACAACTGTCAGAGTGTACTGGGCAGTCTGACTCACTCTCCCTTCCTGTTTTCAATGAGTGCACAAATGCACGAGCACCACCCCTGCTCACTTTAGTTTCACTTGAGCAAGCTCATTAACTCCAACACTCGCTTACGCTTGGCAGATAATGAATGTGTTCTCACATCCTCATGCTCACCCTGGTCTGAAAACAGGAAGAACCAGTAAAAGTCTGCTTCCCCTTTGGTCTCCCGAATGGGCTCGATCCAGTGACAATTTGATGGAAACAGATATTTAGTGCATATCTTGAACTTTTTTCCTTTACGCAGTAGGAGAGTAGAACATTATGAGGTTTGTTCCAATCTTCCAAGCAGGAGGGAGATAACTGTGTTTTGGCATAAGGACAAGAGTTTATCACTCTGGGACCAAGCGCACACCACAAGATAGAACGTTGTCGACCTGTTCATATGTAAAGACTCCTTTTGGTCCACAATTTATAAACTAATCACTAAATCGTTTTAGCAGTTGATCTAGTGGCAGACTTAAAATAATCAAAAAAGGGTGCTTTGCTTAAGGTGCAGCTTTGTTTTGTGTCGACAGAGGAGATTTGTCCCACAGCTGCCAATTGCTAACACGTGCGCTGCAAGAGATTTCATAATGATGCAAAAGCACAAACACATACCAGCTTCGCAGCATAATTCACCACCAGCAAATCGATCTTTTTCTTCCCAAGTCGTGATAAATGTGTTTAAGTGCTCTCTGAGTTTGTCCACCCTCTGAAAAAAAAAACATATATATATATGCACTAATACAACTATTAAGGAAATTGGTTGCTTGGATTATGCTCAGTTATGCAGTTTAGCAGTCATCATACAAGGATATTTGACAGCGGAACGACCAATCAGAATCGTGTATTCCAGAAAGCTGTACAATAAATTATAAATATACAATTTTATAATTAAATTAAATTAAATCCTTAATGGATTCATCCAAATGGATGATTTCAACAATGACTCACTTTTTATTTGGTCTCACATTCGATCCTTGTTAGATTTGCAGTGGGTGGTTCACACATAAGGATGCTTTAAAAAAGGTAATGTACAGTCTGCAGGTCATTTAAAAAAAAATGTGGTTGACTGTACACTGTACTGTGTTAATTCTATATGTAAATAATACTATACCAAAATATAATATGTATATGTATATATATGGGTGGTCCGTATAAGAATAATAAATCTCAAGGACTACTGCAGTCACAAGAACATTTTAAGGCAAGCCCTCGGTTTGTTATTAGGGCTTTTATCCTTGCTGTCATTGTCAAGGTTTGTATAATGTTCTAGAATTGTCTGCACTTGTCCCCTATTCACTCTGATTTCAGCTGCTTTGATGGCATGTCTGCTTTATTTTGTGTGGAGAGTTACAGCTGACCACTGCTGGATGATGGACGATTGAACGGTCCACTACTCACCAGGCCCACCAGCACCCTCTGCTGTTGGTCTTCCTCTTGAAACAGTGGAACTACACGCTTATCTGGAAGGACAGAGAGAGCGTAAGAAAGAAAGTGAGTGTTTAAGGTTTAGTTTACACAAATCTGTCATCATTTACACACCCAATGTTGTTACAAACCCATACGGCTTTCATTTTTCTGTGGAACCCAAAAGCCCTGCCCTCATCCGTAGCTCTCGAATTTTATTCTCACTAGAGTACATTCTGACTTTTTTTTGGTCACTATGTGAATCTGTTGCATGGAAAAGAGCAGCGTTAGCATTCTGCAAAATAGCTTCTTTTGTGTTTTACAGAAGAAAGCCATACAACAAGAGCAACATGAGTAAATGATGGCAGATTGTTCATTTTGGCTGAACTATACCGATAGTCCTGTCAGACAAAATTTAACAACCTTAATAATTCTACAAATTTCTATTATCTTTGTAGGAACTTAATTTTTTTTTTGGTTAATGACAAGCTACAAATGAAAAAAAAAATCATCCAGCACTGAAAGGTATTCTGAGAAACACAGGATAACACATTGATTTGTCTTATGTGTGTGTGTGTTTTGTGAGTGGGAAGGAGGTACTGTAATCACTCTTATATAACAGTATGGAATTCCTCCTCCCATTTCCCTCGTATCTAAAGAGGTGCTTGATTAACCTCACATAAACCTAGAGACTGATTACATTCAAGCCAGAGAATGTGACCCTGAAACTGAAACTCCAGTCGCAGGGACTTTCCATGAAAGTTTGAAATATTTCCAGGATTTGATCAGGGATAAATAATCTCACAAGTGTCCTTTCGTTGACACGACTGGCCATTTAAACTGAGTTTCTCTTACCCAAACACCAAGTGTCCACCATAGACAGAACTCTGCATGTAAGAAACAAACAGGAAAAGAGGCATTTGAATTACATCAAGCTGCATTTCACCAACACCAAAACAACAAAAGTAAATATTGTCTTGTTTTAAAGAGGTTCAACTTATTCATATAAGAGTTAGTCGGCTTTTGCATGAAATAGCACTCTGTTTTGTTTTGTAACACACTTTCTTGCACACTCAGTCTCCAAGCACACTCACGCACATAATATTTGGCACATGCCAAACTCCACCCACTTTTTTATGTTCTCCTCAATTTGGCTTTGATAGCGGGGAGATTTCTTCTTCTCTGAGTTCTGCAGCAATAACAGCAAAAATTGATATTTTTAAACAGATAGTTGTAGCATAGTCCTACTGTAGGTGCTCACCAGTCAATATATTGTGCCTGTCATATTTTAATATTCAACCAATCAGATTTGAGAACCAGAACGAACCGTTGTATAAAAATATATAACATATACTGCATATAGTATTATACATTTATAAAATCTATAAATATATATGTATAGCCCTTATAACTAGGGCTGTCAATAAAATTAAATATAATTTTTTATTATAAAATATTATTATTATTATATTTTTTTAAAACAATCCATTTTTTTGTTGTTGTTACATGTGTATCCAGTTCCTTTTTAAGGGAAAAAAAAGTCAAAATAATGTGTAA